TCTCCCATGTCTCGACTGTTACAGCTTAACTCATGGTTTCTCAGATCCAAGAACACATAAAGGGCAGGGGCAGAGAAAGGGTAGATTAGAGCCAATTTGCTCCCACCTTGGATAAGGAGCAGACTGGGCTCTCTCTATATATATGTACATTAAGAATGAGTTCATAGACTCTTTTCCAATACCTCAGAATGCTTTTTTTAAATTATTTTTATTTTATTTTATTTTATTTTTTTAAGCATTGTCTGGGTATGAGGCTCTACCTAGTTCTTCTAAACTTAAGTCATAGTAGATGAGGAAAAAAAGAAAGAACAGTCAATTTCTAACTCAGAAAAGATGTCAAGTAACTCAGGCACTGACTTCAAAAGAAACAAGAAGGAAGTTCAGTTACATCCTGGGAAACTTGCATTGTAAGTATCTGTGCTAATAGCCAAGGCTGGTTTTAAGAAAAATGGACCTACTTTTCCCCAGCATAGTGAATTTTCATCTTTTTTTAGCTCACATAGAGCTTTTAGGTCTGATGAAGGTACTGAAAACTCTTCCTCAGAGAAACATAAACAAACAAATACACAGACACATTACTACATAAATTTAAAGTTATATATGGATGGCTTAAAATTTATCCATGGTAGCCCAGGGATCCAAGGACTCTATATTAAGGACTTCACGATAATAGCAATGACTCTTTTCCATTTTCCCCTCTCCTATTAATACTATTATTACACTTTAAATATTCTATGTGTCTTGACTTTGGCATCTGTATTTTTAGTTTAGTGACTCAGAGCATTACTTCATGCCATTCTCAAGATCTTGGCACTCACATGAGGAAGAATTATAACATTTCTTATGGAAGAATAAGGCAAACATGCCATATCTTATGAGATTGGATTGAGTTTCAAATGACAACTGCCAAAGGGAAAGTTCCCTCCAGAACACAGAGCGCACGACACCGTCACTCAGGACATTTGGGGCTGGCTTGACTCCTAAGTTATTATAACAAAATGAGACTTGAACTACTGCCTAATTTCCTTGTATGCTCCCTAATATTATTAAGGATTGCAATTGCATGAATTTTTAAAATGTCCTTGAATTCAATTTTTCAGTTTATAATTCTGACATTGTTGACAACTTTTTAAATGTGTGTTCTGCTATCTCATTGAAAATGACAAAAAACTCACATTTTTAAGAAATCTTTTATTAGATTATTTAGCCAAGATGTATTTGACACTATATTTCCATTCCTAATAATAATCCATATTCTTTGTGTCTGTACTTAGAACATAAGAAAATAATAAAATCAAGGTAAATATGAATGTGGTTTAGAGATAGTGTGGTGGTTTTAAATTCACAAAACCATCCTATCAATGTGTCTTCTCCCAGATTTTTAAATATTCCTCTCTGTCTACATAGCATATTCAATGAAAATTCCCTTTATTTCTGTCTGACTGTAAAAATTACCAACAAAGCAAATTAGGGAGAGAAAAAAGTAAAAAGGAAAAATGTTTTTAAAACAAAGAAAATTTGTTAACATTTTAAGGTATGTTTTTCCTTTTATTCATTTTTAAACTAGATTATTTCTACATTTTATTATTATGAATAACGTAGCAATGAATGTTATGAACAAGATTATGTAAGGATATATATTTTCATTTTGTTTGGGTATATATCTAGGAGACAAAGTACTGGGTCATATGGTAACTCTACATTTAATATTTTGAAAAACACAAGACTGTGTTGTGATGGTGTGAAATAGTAATCTAACTTCATTCTTTTGCATATGGATATGAAATTTTCCCAATATCCTATTGAAAAGACTTTTCTTTCTTCATTGACACCCTTGTCAAAAGTCAGCTGAATGTAAAAGTGAGGATTTATTTCTAGACTCTCAATACTATTCTAGTGATTGATCGCTCTTTCTATCATTTATCTATCCATCTACCTCCTTAAACCACATTACACTGTCTTGATCACTGACGTTATAGTAAATTTTGAAATTGGAAAGTGTGAGTCTTCCAACTCTTTTCTTTTTTGAGATTGTTTTGTCCATTTTTAAGTGCCTTGAATGTCCTTATAAATGTTGGCAAAGAAGTCAGGTAGGCTTTAAGAGGGTTGTGTTGAATCTGTAGATCATTTTGTAGAGCATTAAAATACTAAGTTTCCAACATATGAACATGTATGTCTTTCCATTTACTTATGTCTTTAATTTCTTTGAACAATATTTTGTATTTTTCAGAATATGTTTTAGACTTCTTTTATTAAATATATTCCTAAGTATTTCATTCTTTTGATGCTATTTAAATAAAGTTGTGTGCTTAAATCCAAGATTGTTCATTGTAAATGCACTGATATACCACTGATTTTTGTATATTGATCTTATATTCTGCAACCTTGCAGAACCTTGCTGTTTATTGGTCCTGATAGCTTTTTAATTAATTCCTTAGAATTTTTTTGCCTACAAGATTATGTTATATACAAACAGAGGTAGTTTCATTTCTTCCTTTTCAATCTGGATGACTTATATTTCATTTTCTTGCCTAATTTTCCTGGTTAGAACTGGCAGTACAATGTTGAATAGAAGTGATAATAGGGGACACTGTTTTCTTTTTCCTAATCTTAGGGAGAAAGTACCCAGTTTTTCACTGAAGTAGGGATGTAGTATTTTTAGCTCTCCACTGGTTATTTTTTGGAAAACTAAATAACATACTTAATAACACCTACTGACTTTCTACCTTAAAGATAGGACAATAATGCATGTTAAGTCTCTTCTATTTCTCCTTTTTAATTCATCATCTTCAAATTTATATCTATCCATCCATGTACAGAAATTCAATTTTATATTAGTTTTGTTTCATTTTATAGCCATTCTGTCTTCTATTCTTTGCCTATTGGTTGAGCTTTATACCTAATGTAAACAAAATTGACTGTCATTTTGGCATATAAAATTATCACAAAACAAAAAAATTGATTTAAAACATAAAAATTCAGCAAATATTAAAGAAAACATGCTTCAAGACTGTAAAGATCACAGATTCTTTTAAAATATTATTTTGACTTATACTTACTTCTTTGGATCATAATTGTCTGTCATTTCTTGTGTCTAATGCTGCCTCCTCTTTACTGCCTTTTCATTTTCTTAAGAGATTCTTTTGAGAGCAAAAATCTTAATGAGGTCTAGCATATCAGTATTTTTCTTTTATGGATTATATATTTAGTGTCATGTCTAAGGACTCTAAAAAGTCCTTATGTCCCCCCAATTTTCTTTTTTGTTATACCTTAAAAGTTGTATTTGTTTACATTTTACTTTTTAATCTTTAATTCATTTAGTTGTTGGTAGTTATTTCCTTATTATACTGTAATGTATGCAAGGTGTGTAGCGATACCTCTTATTTCATTTCTGTTACTAGTAATCTGGGTTTTCTCTTTTTTGTCAGTCTTGGAAGAAGCTTGTAAATTTTAGTTATCTTTCCAAAGATCCATTCTTTTCATTGATTTTCTTTATTTTCTGTTTAAATTTTATTTTTAACTTAATTTTATTTTTTTCAGTGTTCCAAAATTCATTGTTTTGATTAGCTTTATGATATCATTTATTCTGTTTGCTTAGAGATTATTTCATTCTTCTTTTCCTATTTCCTGAAGTGGAAATTCAGATTATTAATTTGAGACTTTAATCTTTCCTAAGCCAGTACCAAATGGTATAAAATTCCCTTGTATCACTGTAGAAATTGTCTTTGTCTTTAAGTTTTTTTTTTTTTAGAAATTGTCTTTGTTAATGATTTTTCTACTACCCAGCTTTCTAATAAGACATACCGTTCTTTTAGTAACACACTATAGGCCCTCTGAAGTTTTTCAAATCTTTATTTTGGCCTACTTTATATTTGGCTTTTATTTAATGTTAGAGCAGTTTTTAATGTATGCTGAAAGTTATAAAACCAATATATTTTGCCTTGAACTTAGTATCTTCATGCTTTAACTTAATTTATTTTTCTTTAACTAGATTGTGAGCTTACATTCCTAGCCAGTGCATTTTCAATTATTTACAAGGGAATATGTAATTATTAAAAATTAATACAATCATTGAATTGATTCTTTAAAGTAAATTTGCCCTTTATATATTGTTATATGTTAGTATTATCGGAACAAGTAAAAAGCTCCAGCTGATACCACATTTAAATACAAAGCTGCTTTTTCTGGCTTGAGGTAGGCTATGCTATACAGCCCCAGGTCAGTTAGAATCTGTGTTCATGTAGGTCAAACTTCAACATTCATAATAGTGTTTTAAAAAGTATAAAATTATAAAAACCCATTGTATTGTTAAGAGAGAAGTTTGGAATAAGAAATTTAGAAATGGGGCTATCACAATTTCCATTTGGATCTATGTGTAAGTGACCTTTGTTATCCTATCTTCTATGGAACTTAGGAGGGAAACCATTCCTTTTTAATAACTTTTATTAATATTAGTTCACCAATAATACCAAGACACATGCAGAGTTCACTTCCTAGTTTACTTGGAATCACCTCCCTCTCAATATTTTTGACAACTTTAAAATTAAAAATAAAATGAGCCTTTCTTATATGTAAAGGACCACCTACATACATAGCCTTATATTTCCTTTTTTTTTTTTTTAAGATTTTATTTATTTATTTATTTATTTGACAGAGAGAGAGAGAGCGCGCGCAAGTAGGCAGAAAGGCAGGCGAGGGTGGGGGCGAAGCAGGCTCCCCGCTGAGCAGAGCCCGATGTGGGGCTCCATTCCAGGACCCTGAGATCCTGACCTTAACTGAAGGCAGAGGCTTAACCCACTGAGCCACCCAGGCGCCCAATAGCCTTATATTCCGTATTCAAAGTTGCACCGGATCATTTCTAAAGCAGCTGTCTCTTAGAAAAGCAAACACACAAACTTAAGACTTCTTGATAAATACAGACCTCAATTTCACTGGTAGAATATCTCCCAAATTAGTTTCCGAAAGCGAGCAATTCTTCACCTTCAATACTGAAAACTCACCTTATCACAAAGGAAGCCACTCTTCCTGGTGCCCATTTTAGCACAATCACAGGGTTTGCAAACATCCGCGGCGGAAGGATCTGCTCCAACTTGTCGGAAAAAGTAATCCTTACATAACTCACAGTTCCTTCCTGCATCAGAGAAAGGTTATGCATTATGACTTACAATTCATTAAAATCAGCCGCATAATTCAAAATTAAAGACTGTATTCCTATGAGGGAATTCTATAATTTTCGGGACGTCCATTTTAATGCACCTTTCATCTCTACCTGCCAATTTAGTGATCCAGAGCATATGAAACAATGAACCTGTTACAAACTGTGCTTTACTTCATTAAACTCCCATCTGTTATATAATACCACACTTCCAAAAAGCTCTGCTTTGTTGGGGTCCACACATTTTGGAAGAGTTTGTTTTTAAATTTAAAACTTTTTTTTTTTTCTAGGACTAGGCACTTAATCTAAATCAAATATGAGAAATGTTTATGTGTGAGGTAGATGATGGTTATACAGTTGGAAATAAGTAGGCATGTAGTATCAGAAATACTTTTCAAGAACTAAATCTTTTAAAAAAGGATACTGTTCTAAATATAATTTATTATTCTATAGTTAACATTATTAAAAGCAAACGTTTCTCTGCTTATGGCATTATTTTTTATTTCAAAAAGCAAAATAGAATTCCATGTTTAGATATATTAGAAATATGAGATAATTCCCATAGTTTATGATTTATTTAGACATTTTTTCTTGCCATTTTATATAAGAAAAAAATCTGAATTATAAGGGGGTTCTAAAGTAAATGTGAGTAGCATAGAAGACCACTGAGAGAAGCTAAAATAAAACTCAAGACTATCAATTCCACTTTAAACACTATGTACTCTACTCTGTTCAAATATTACTAAAATTGGCTCAATATCAGAAGACTATAGAAATAATCAATTGAAAAACATTCTGATGGATATTGGCCATGGATTAATTAAAAATTAAATGAATTTATAATATTTCTAGAATATTTCTATTTGCATATACTGATGATTCCCGAATTTCTATCTCTAATCTAGAAATTTCTTCATCATTCAATGAATATTTATTGTGTGATTACCATGTTACAAACACTGTACTAAGTGCAGAGAAATACAATAGCAAGAAAATACACTTGTATCCCTTTCACAGAGCTTTCTTACAATCTAGTAAGATGAGTTCCAATTAAATAATTATAGGTATAAATATGCACTTACAAATTGTGATAAGCATAAGATGACACTAAAATATATAGATGATACTGATTTATTCTGAGGCATCACAATAAGGTTTTTTTTAAGAGAGGAGTTTCAGAACTGTTTCCAGCTGCCCACAAGATTTTCTCCTATGTCTCTTGGAAACACTGTGAATGTTTCCAAAACAAAACTTGCCATTTTCTCCCTAAATTTTGATCCTTTTGTGTTTCCTGTCTCAATGGCTGGCACCAACATTGACCCTGTTGCTCAAACTAGAATGTTAGGATTGAGTCTTGACTATTTCTTTCCCTTACCTACACCCTACATTTTGCTCAGAAAATGCTTGTACTTCCCATTCCACATATCTCTTGGATCCACTTCTCTCTTTCCATACCACCTTAAATGTACTCAAGCATTATTTCTTACTACCACAGTACCTCAAACCACTTTTGGCCCTCTCCAATCCATTCACCACTTTATAACCGTATGTGTCTTTTAAAAACATAAAACTTGTTATATCTCTTTCTTGTAAAATACCCTTAAGTGGCGTCTATTAACCTGAGGATAGAAGCCAAACTCTTAACCATGGTTCATAGAGCCTTCTAGATCTGGCCCCTGCCTTCCTTTTTAGCACTTGTCTTACAATCTTCCATTTTTCTTTCCATCATTTCTTTCAGAGTTCCATGTTTCTTTCTCCTCTAGGCCACTGCACATCTGTTTCTCTTACTAGAGACCTTTTGTCACCATGCCCCTAATTCCCCTCCTTCTCACTATTCCACCTGATTAACTCCTACTGCACTTGTCCTATCTTAGCACTCATTAGACAACTTTGTAACTGTTCCTTTAGTGGTGTGTCTTTCCTACTATGTAATAATCCACACAAAGACAGGAAAATTCATTATCTTGTTTGTCTTTATATTACCAGCACCTAGCCAAGTTCTGGTGACATTTTAGGTCATCAATAATTATCTAATAAATCCATTCATGCTTCAGAGTCATGCATTTTCAAATCCATCAGACTTGGGCCATTATATTTTACAAATTGAGATACTGCCTATTTCTGCTTTTAATACACCAGACCTTCAGAGAATAGTAATTTTCAATGATGAGTCAAAATGCTGTATGCTTTTAGAACAAGACTTTGATAATCATCTTGTACATTTAATTAGGATTTTTTTTAAAAGAATGTTCCCAGATTACTAGGATTCTTGCCAAATCTGAACAAACATAAACATCACTACATGAAAATCCAGACATAATGGAAGATCAAGGTCACACAAAGAAATTTAAGGGTATGCATACTCAAACAAATAATCCCTGAATTTTCCAAAATATATTCATGATTTAATCAAATAGCCTGTACTTTAGAAAAAAACAAAAAACAAAAAGAAATTTCCTGAAAAGATGCAGTTGAAGGTAAGAGTGCTATTTCTGAAAACTACCTAATTATTTGGATTTATGAAGACTTGAATGAACAAGCTTTACTATCCTAACAATATTATTTTTTAAGTTTTTATTTAAATTCCTGTTAGTTAACATACAGTGTAATATTAGTTTTTCAAGTGAACAATAGAATGATTCAGCACTTCCATACAACACTGGGTACTCATCACAAGTGTACTTCCTAATCCCCATTACCTATTTGGCCCATCCCCCCACCAACTTCTCCTCTGGTAACCACCAGTTTGTTTATAGTTAAGAGTCTGCTTCTTCGAAATAAGTCAATCAGAGAAGGACAACTATCATATGATCTCCCTGATATGAGGAAGTGGAGATGCAACGTGGGGGGTTTGGGGGATAGGAAAAGAATAAATGAAACAAGATGGGATCGGGAGGGAGACAAAACATAAGAAACTCTTAATCTCACAAAACAAACTGAGGGTTGCTGGGGGGAAGGGGGCCACGAGAGGGTGGTGGGGTTATGGACATTGGGGAGGATATATGCTATGGTGAGTGCTGTGAAGTGTGTAAACCTGGCGATTCATAGACCTGTACCCCTGGGGCTAATAATACATTATATGTTTATAAAAAAATAAAAATAAAATTTTAAAAAAGAGTCTGCTTCTTGGTTTCTCTCTCTTTTTCCCTTTGCACATTTGTTTTGTTTCTTAAATTCAACATGAATGAAATCGTATGGTACAGTTTCAAAACATTTTCTTAAGGTAGCAATAAGATAATTTAAAATGACATGCATTATATAACACACATGGGCCTCAAAGGCCAAATCAGACTTTGTTATTAGTTATCTATGATTTGCTAGTTACCTGTTGTATTATGCTCACAATCATCACAGACCCCTCCCCCTCCTCTGTGGTGCTCATATGGAAATGGGTCCACTGAGATATTGTAGTGGCAGCTTCTGGAATGGTTGTTGCATTGACAAGGTTTACAATTGAAAGCTTGAACTTGATCACCTTGGTGGAAAGGCTTATCATTATAAAGAGGCAAGCAGTGATCACACTGAAACAATAACAGAACAATAAAGAAATACAAAGATTCTTTATGTAACAGATATTTTTGTTATAGAACAAATATCAAAGAGTTAAAAGCCAGCAATTATTGTTTTTGAAAAAATGTTTTATAAATCAGAAATTAGCATGTTATAGGCATAGTAGTGCAAAATGATAAGGGTCCATCCAAGCTGAAACTATGCAAAATGACCATAATAACCAATGAGGAAAGTTATGATTGTTCAATAATCTTTAATTTGTCAAAACATTAAAACTTGGTTTCCAGTCTGAGATTCCACAAGTAAGGAGTTTGGAGTCACCACTCTATTCTAACAAGTAAAAAGCTGAGTAAACTGAAAAATCAACAACTCTTTTTGGATCTCTAAAGGGGAAAAACAGGACAAAGAGTCCCCAAGACTTTAAGGAAAGACTGACAGGTAACAGGGAGTCTCAGTGACAGAAGCAGAGACTCAGTAGCAGAAGCTTCCGTGGGAACCAATTCCAGGTTGGGGGGGGTACTTTCTTGTACTTAACAAATTGCTGGATGTTCAGTAGGAACAAGTCTGAGAATTGAAGACTCTAAGGGGACCTAGTTATCATGGGGGATCCCAAATATTTTGGAGATTTACTTCTGGGAGTTTGACCAGGTTCTCACAGTAAATCTTAGTGGCGTATTTCCTCATACTTCTGGCAGGAAGAGGAAAAAGGGAGCCATTTTGAAATAAATCAGGGCTCACTGTACTTCTTAACAATATCTGCCCTCAGGAGAAATTAGTGAACCAGAGACTAACCTGCTGGGGTATTATCAGAGCCTGATTTAGGGAGGGGAAATACCCAAATCCAGCCCACTCTAGTCATCCTGTCTCACCTCTGAGTGGAAGAGAAAGAGAAGCAACTGTAAAGTTAACAATCCAGAAGCACAAGCTCACTAAAAGACTGAGACCTAATCATAGGACTATAGAGTGCTTCCCCCACACTTCACTACACTTCCAAATGCTTGTATACAGCAGTACCTTTTACCAGGCACACCATCTATCAATGAGGGAAAAAAAATCACAAGGAACACTAAAGGCAAAATAAAACAAAACAAAAACAAAAACAACAACAAAAAAAAAAAAAAAAACCCACTGCACAATCTGAAAGACTGAACAAGCATCAGAATTAGAAATGTAAGGAATGTTGGAATTATCAAACCAGGAACTTAAAATACCCATGATTAAAATGCCAAGACTCTAATGGATAAAGCAGACAGCATGGAAGAACAGTGGTTGGGCAATGTAAACAGAGAGATGGAAATTGTAAGGAAAAAAAAAAAAAAAAGAAATGCTAGACAAAGATCACACAGAAATGAAGAATGCCTTTGATGAACCTATTAATAGATTGGACTCAGCTGAGGAAAGGATTTCTGAGGAAGATGATACAACAATAGAATCCTCAGAAACTGAAAAACAAAGAGAAAAAAAAAATGAACAAACAAAACAGACAATGCAAGGACAGTGAGACAACTAGGAAATTTATAACATACAAATAATAGGAACACCAGGAAGAGAAGAAAGAGAGGAGCAGAATAAATATTTGAAACAGTAATCCCTGAGAATTTCTCCAATTTAATGTCAAACACCAAACCTCAGAGCCAGGAAGCTTATAGAACACCAAACAGGATAAATACTAAAAACAAACAAAAAAAACCACAACAATATCTATACCCAGACCTATAATTTTCAAACTACAGAAAATCAAAGATAAAGGAAAAAATGTGTAAAGAGTTTTAAAAACACCTAACCTGTGGAAAGAACAATGGTAGGAATTATATCTAACTTCTCAGAAAACATGCAATTAAGAGGAGAGCAGAACGAAATACTTAAGTGTTGAGAGAAAAAAACCACCAATCTAGAATTCTGTACCCTCCAAAACTGTCCTTCAAAAGTGAAGGAGAACTAAATATTTTCTAAAAAAAAAAATTGAAATTTGTTGCCAGTAGAACTGTCTTGCAAGAAATGTTAAAAGTTCTTTAGAGAGAAGGAAAATATTATAGGTCAGAAACTTGTATCAATGTTAAGAAAGGAAGAGCATCAAAGAGGGAATAAATGAAGGTAAAACTTTAAAAAATGTTCTTACTGTCAGTTATAAATATGATAGGAAATAAAAATTATAATAGACTAACATTTAGGAGGCTGTGAATTAACATTTGAAACTTTGAGAATTAAATTGTTTTATTTTATTTTATTTTTTTAAATTGAGTCACTTGAATCATGCTTGCTTTCTTATCCTATGACTTTCTATTCTGAGAAAGCAGCCTGTCTGTGCCTTGGTGATAGGTCATATTGCTTTGTAAATATGGCTGGGCACCCATCATTCCAATCTTCGTGCTCTCACTGTTATCTTGACCCTATTCCTCATAACCATAGTCCTCATTCTTTTTTTTTTTTTAATTTATTTATTTGACAGAGAGAGAGATCACAAGTAGGCAGAGAGTCAGGCAGAGAGAGAGGGGGAGGCAGGTTCCCTGTTGAGCAGAGAGCCCAATGCAGGGCTTGATCCCAGGACCCTGAGATCATTACCTGAGCTGAAGGCAGTGGCTTAATCCACTGAGCCACCCAGGTGCCCCCACAGTCCTTGTTCTTAAGTTAGCCTTTGCTGAGTTGCTCTAGCTGTGTATACAAAGTCTTTCAAATGGTGTCACTGACCAACTATTTCTTCTGTGAAGAAAGGAATACTCATTTCCACTTTTTGTATTTGTGTTTCTGAAATGTCACATGGGTTTTATTTATTGCTGACAGACTAGGAAGCAGCACAACTATCAACTTCTTTGAATGGATGTGCACTAATCAATCACCAACACACTTTGAAAGAAGAGTAAAGAATGGTCACTGATCATGATATGCATTGTTTCCACAGTAATGTGTAGACTGAAGTTAAACCTGTACTTTACACACTTACCATTAATATACCATAATAATTAATATTTGAACCATGTTGTTGGAGGATGAGTATTATCTAACTATGGTAACTGAAATTCATGATATTAGAACTGTAAAAAGAGTAAATACTTTTAAATATTTTCTTAAATATGGCCAAATTCCTTCTAGAAAAATTAAATTCATAATCCCACCACCAGGAACATCTGAGAATGTCCATTTGATATTCTGTTCAATTTAAAACTGTGATTATCTCTTCATGATTTTAAGAAAAATATTAATCACTCTTTTAGTATGTATGCTTTTGGTTACTAGTAAAGATAGTGTTTTTCATCTGGTTCTTGGTCAAATATAATCTTTTTTGAGGAAACTTCTTTTTTGTATTATTTCTGAATTTAATGGATATATCTTTAAAGTTACAACCTATCTAATGATGTTGACTATCTCAGGTAAATTATCATTTAAAAGAAGAATTATCTACCCCAAAATAACAAGATGATTTTATATAAAAAATAAAAATATATTGTCAATTTTATTAAGGGTCCTGATTTAAATATTTGACCTATTGCATTTATAAATTGTTATTTAGGTTTATTAGTTAATTAGAATTTATTCTTGCATTCATAGAATAAACTCAACATCATTTATGGTAAATAATGGTTAAAATTATTTAGGATTTTTACATTTCTATTAAAAAATTAGACTGTTCTGTGTTTTTATAAAGACATTAAAATAAATAAAAACTTAACATTTTAATGGGGAATCAGTATATACTTCAACTTATCAAGTTAATTTTAATATCTGAATGATCAGAAAGAGAATTCTTGTTTTGTACACACCCTAAAACCTACAGTAGTTTGTCAAGTTACATTTTATATAAAATATGATTGATTCAAGAGAAATTTTAAAATAATAGGAGCACCTGGTGGCTCAGTCAGTTAAATATCCAACACTTGTTATTGGTTCAGGTCATGATTTCAGGGTTGTGAGATCAAGCCCTGTGTTGGGGATCCATGCTCAGTGCAGTCTGCTTGAGATTCTCTGCTTCCTCTGCCCTCCCCACACTCACACTCACCGTCTCTAAAATAAGTAAATAAAATCTTTAAAGAATAATATATACATTTATAACAAAATTTATGAATTATTTTTCTCACGCCTCGATTTTTTTGGTAAGATGCTTAATGAAAGCTGAAAGTGTCCAATTTTTCTCCGAGTTAATTTTAATTATGAATTAGGAGAATCCAACCATGTAACTTCTCAAAAAGCCTCCCTATCTATTCATAATAATGATCCTTTGCAATTTGTTTTAAGACTGTTAAAAACTATTTTTATATTTTTGACAACAAAGGTTATTTCCTTTTACTAATTTCTGCAATAAATGTTTAATATTTCAGAACAGTTTGACACATTCCATAATCATTATTGGGACAAACTGCAGTCAAAAGCATTTTTGCCAGTTTTTATCTCCCTCTACTAATTCATAGTTGAACAATTTCTTCCCTTAATATTTTTAAAGTTAGAAAGAAAAAAAAATGTAACAATTTAATCGTCCAATATGTTACTATTGTATGGTATTCTGAAATTTGTAGCAGGAAAGCACAGTTTTTCTACTTAGCTGAGGAAAAGGAAGACAAAAGACAGAGAGGAAATGAGAATGGAAACATAATGGTTCTCCCAGCATGTAGTGCTGCATTCCAATTATTGGTAATGAATGCACTCTTCCATTTTGGTCAATTTTTAAAAATCAATATCATATTCTTTTTGAAGTGAGGAAGATTCTTTCTCCCCAAAACCATTTCTCATCTTTTGGACTGGGATAACTTCTCCCTTTCTCTTCTTCTACAGCACTCAATACCCTGACCATGCTCTTATTGTTTTGAACCAAAATTATTGGTTTACTCGCATGCACCGTCCAGGAATTGAAAGCTATTGGCTTTTGTACTCTCTGTGTCATCTACACAGAAGAAGCTTAATAGACAATTGCTAAGCTGTTAACTGAAAATTCACGTGACTATAACATTAATATCCAAAGTAGTCATTCTTAAGGTAATGTAGAGAGGGGAACAATGGGAACAATTAATAAATAGGGAAA